TCTTAGCTGGTTAAAACCTGCCAAGATTCAGGATTCATGTGTGTCATTTGTCTCAAGAGGGTTGACCTGAGGGAGCTGGTGATTTGATATATATGGATATAATGGTATATTAAACTGCTTTTATCACCAATGGCTCAACTTGGTGATAAAATTACTATTTAGGCTCAACCTAAATAGTAATAGGTGTCACTTTTAGTATGACCCAAGAAGATCATCAGCCTAGTATTCTGTTTTTTACATTGTTACCAAGAAATTTTCTGTGGGAAGGTTTTCTAGAACATATTTACATCTTCCAGGAAAATTTGTGACTCTACTCTCACTTTAAGACACAGCTCAGGGGCCACTCTTCCAATAATCCACTTATTTTCCTCCAGTCTGGGCCAGGCATGACTCTTTTGTGTTCCTATAGTGACTAATGGTTATCTCTATGATGACGTTTTGTTAACTGATCTTTGACATTGAATTGCAAGTCACTAGAGCCAGTAATTGTCTTTTTGGTTCTATCTCTAATACTTGGAAAAGTGCCAGGCAGGGACCAGGTGGCACACTATCAGCTAAATTAAAGAATGTAAACTTTCAGAGATTTAGAATTTATTTTTGTCTTACAACTTTTCTTAGAAACTACCACGAGAATGAAACATTGTCCTTGGAGAAACATTGGTATTTTCAAGAGGATGGGAAATCAAATACCTTCTCTTGTTTATTCCTGTGCTCATGAGAAGCAACGGGCTCTCTTCTCCTATCCATAGAAGAACTACCTATAGTTCTTACAGGGGGACCTGATTATGGGAGCCTGAGCTTCTCTAGGAGTAGGGGATGGGAGGTTGAGGGCTTTAGAGTGAATTTTTCAGACAGAGTCAAGGCTAAGATAGGAATCATGGCTGTGCAAGAAGTTAGCTGGGCTGGGTAAGATAAACTGTATCTAGACTATGATAATCTCCTCTTGTATATCACACTTTAGCAAAATTACATATCTCTTTCCTCTGCTATTCTAAAACCTCCCGCTGTAGCATATAGTGCTTGCTAAGATTTACTGTTCAATGAAGGACGAGGAGTGAACAAATTATTTAATGAGGCAATATTTTAGGCTAAGGAATTTGTTCTTTGTTGCCACCGTTTCTACCGTTTTGTATTTTTCTCTTTGTTTTATGAGTTTATTTCTTAGGAAGTTCTACTGAAAACTTACTGCCTATTCCCACCTGCACTAAGCAAAAAAGGGATTTGTTCACTCCTCACCCAGGAGAGCCACAGCGATATAAGTGCTGGGCTTGGTTGGGTTTAGTGTTGGATAGCAACTAGATGGGTGACATTGTGATTTGAGCTAACAAAATGGGAATGTGGGATGTTTGGGGTAGTGAGGTGTAAGCAAAGTTAAAGCAGATAGGAATGAAAAGTCAAGCGGGAAGGGAAGGAGAGTTATGGCTGTAGATTTCTTCTGATCACTGGCTTTCTCTATCAAAACCATGTCATTTATTAATTTGTCTAAACCAGAGGTCACAAATTCCTCAAAGACTGAAATTATTATTCAAGGACTAAGCAGTTAGCATAAATGAGGGTTGCAGGCTAGGCATAAGGCAGAGGGAAGAGGTGGGAACTTGGGACAAACTAGAAAGGGCATGTGCATTCTTTTTAAAAACATTCACATTTGTTTCTTCTTCACCTGTGCACGAAAAGGTTAAAACAAGCCAAATGTCTATATATAAATTCAACATCATAGGGCACAAGTTCTTGATCTCTGCTAAACATTTCTATACCCATCCGTATGCTTCATCTCTTAAGACGACTTCTTGAGATAATGCACTTTATTAGTCATGCAACCATAACCATAGTGTTCCCAATGTCTTCATAGAAATTGCTGCTTGAGGATGTCCCTTTCCTCTTTATAGCTCCATTCCCAAAGATTACTATCAGTAGACATCTGGACAGCTCAGACCCTGTATCTGAGAACATTGTGGTGCTGTCTTTGAGACTTCTTACTCTTTGGTCAAGCCTTTGACAAGCATATTTAGAAATCAATTTCTGGAGGGTCCACCTTGCTAGTTACCACAATAAACTCTAACATGTTAAAATCTCCATTGAGGACCAGCCTACTCTGTACTGAAGACATTTACCACATTTTAGAGTGCCTTTATTTAAATACCAGCATCTGCTAAGAGGTTGCAGGAATAAAACCATTATGACAGATTCCTTTAAACTGTTGAATTAGTTGTTGTATCTTTAAAAACATAAATAAATAAATGTATTCTAGCATATAGTAGGCACTCAAATAAAAATCTTATTATATGCTAAAGATATTATTTCCATAACAAAAGCCAACTTTTCCTCCAGATTCTATATTAATAGATTATTTATGATTTTACTATAATTCTTCGGGTGCAAATCATGTTGCTTGAAGCTTCTCAGCTCCATCACTTAGCCTGAAAATGGTATTTTGCTCGTTTCTTACCAAGAGTAGCTGAATTCACACTATAGGAATATTTGCTATGAAGACACACTAACATGGTAGTAAACACAGCCTGACATGGGAAATTATAGTCTAAAGAAAAACAAAGTATGAATTATGTTTCACCAATCCATAATGAGTTCTACTGACATTATTATAAAGTACTCAATTTTCAAGCACAAATGGGCAAGTGCCTTACACTTAGCAGCTGCTCAATTAATAGGTATTGATGGATTGACATATTGTTCAATAAAATGAAACCATTTCTTTATTTTCCTCTTTTTTTTTTTGAGCCTGTTTTAATATAGAAAATGAGTGCTTTGGTTTAAGGATATTGTAGGTAAAGCATATTCTTTCGCTTCAGTGTTTACTGACCATATTTGTCTTTTTTCTTTTACCATAACAGATGAAATCTTAATGGAGTTGTTGGAATGAGGTTCAAGTTCAAAGTTACACCATGAGCTGTGCTTCATGTATATACGACTCTTTTTATTCTTAATGTTTCCCTGGAGTGTGAAGTAGCATTCTCTGTATCACAGTTTGGCTTCTGCTCCTTCCAGATATTTATATTTTATATTTTCTCATTTGTGCTACACTTCCTCCTCTTCCTCTGTTTCATTTCTTTTCAGGTTCAGAGTTGTCATTACAGTCAAACGTGTCTCGTTCCCTCCCTCTCTACTGGTCTGCCTTATCAGATCTGGTCAACTATCAGATTCCTTTCAATTGAAAATTGCCTTTTAGCCCCAGGTTTTATTTCTCCAATGTGTTTCTTCAGCCTGCAATAAGGTTTTGAGGGTACAATAAAGGGGCATCTACCAAGGGTGCTATTTCTTACTGAAATGAAATTTGGGAGGTAAGCTCAAACAAAGAAAAAGATATTTTCTTTTCTGGTGTTCTCCAGCTGGAAAAAATAGGCTAAGTTGATTGAACTTTTAGAATTATTAAAATTACTGTGAGAAGTGGCTTCAAGAATTGTAAAGGAGGACAAAGTTTAGGCAAAGCCCAGGACTTGGACTAGTGGAGGGATGGGATGCAGGCACAATGTGGGGAAGGTGAGTTTGACGTACAATGTACATATTTACCAAAAAGTATTCTTGCATTTCAATGTTAGCATCTACCCTCCCATCTTTAGATAGCTCTAGGAAGTAGTTCAGGATCATAACAGAAGGCAAATGTAGGAAGTCTCTTACTTTTTTTCTCTGTCTGCTTTTATCATTCTTAGAAAGTCTAAACACAGGGCACCTCTATAATCCTTCTGAAGAGAAACAGTCCCCTCATTTTGGGCATCCACCTTCTGGCTGTAGGTTGCTTGGAAAGAAAATACCTTTAGGTTGCATTTCTGGAGTTCTTTCCTGCCAGAAAAGCAGCAAACCTGTGAAACATTGTACATGATCTTGAAACTGTGAGCCTATAGCTGGGGGGTTGGAAAGAGTGGAGACCTGCCTTTCAGTCTTGGCTTTTAGCATTCACTAGTTTGGGAGGCTGGACAGAAAACTAATACTGTATGAGCTTTCATTTAGTATTTGTATAATGCAGGAGTTACTATAAATGACCCCTCAAAAATGTGTTTCTCATGGGTATTTTGTGGTTCTGTGTATTCTCTCTGACTTGTTTCTGCTTGGCCTGCCTTCCCTGTGGCACATGATCTTAAGGCCAAATTCATTCATTCATATAAGCACTTATTATGCACCAAGTGTTATCCTATTATACATATACAGTTTTTTTTTTTTTTTTTTTTTTTTTTTGGAAACAGAGTCTCGCTCTGTTGCCCAGGCTGGAGTGCTGTGGTGTTAGCCTAGCTCAGAGCAACCTCAAACTCCTGGGCTCAAGCAATCCTCTGCCTCAGCCTCTGAGTAGCTGGGACTATGGGCATGTGCCACCATGCCCAGCTAATGTTTTCTATATATTTTAGTTGTCTGGCTAATTTCTCTCCATTTTTAGTAGAGATGGGGTTTCGCTCTTGCCTAGGCTGGTCTCGAACTCCTGAGCTCAACGGTCCTCCCGCCCGGCCTCCCAGAGTGTATCCTATTATTACTTTTAAGAAAAGATATAAAGGACTCTGCAGTAGAGTGGGATATGAATAAAGCAAATGCTGATGAGAGACAATTCACATAATGGAAGTTAGTAGAAATAGAGGGGAAAGAATCTTCTGGCTTGACTATCAGAGTCATGTTAAACGTTACAATAAAAGGGCTTTGCTTAATAACGCATAGGATCATCTGTCCACCTTGCACTTCTATGAGTGGACACAGGACTAGAAATTACATTTGGGTTTCAGAAATATTTGCACAGAGACATTATTAGAAATGGCCTGCTTAACCTTTGGAAGTCATCCAATGCTGCCACTTTCTGGGAGAGCAGGATAGACCTGTCATTAAGTATTATCACAGCTTGTCGTTTTTATGTCCAGCTCAGCACTGGGGGCAGAGTAATCATGGTCTCTGGGAACTCCCGCAGGATCACAGCCCAGCATCCCTGCTCTGCATATTAGCTTAATGCCAGGGACAAGTAAGGCGCTACCCTGTTGTAACGCACTCCAACTGGCTTGTTAATTTACCTGCTGCAGTTCAGTTTACTTCCCCAGAGCCTTCTTTCAATAAAGTCTTCTTAAAGTTATCGGGACTCTTGCGCTTTAGTTCTGCTCCAATCTCTCTTTCGATTGCTGCTTTCTCTCCTCATCCATCATCATTTCCGCTTTCACAGATGAGAAATGAAGTGTTTTTATTGTTCAGGAAGCAAGCAGAGTTTTCCCTGATTCTGTGAGAGATAAGGCAGTCATAGTCACTTGTCCACAGTAGGTCAGTGACACCATCCCATGAAGATGAATTTCCAGCCCTAAGGATTTGCTGTTGTGCGAGGTCAGAGGCGTCATCTGCCACATTCGGCGTGTTTCTGCTCACCCTCCCACCTCCATGTAGTTGGGCTTCTCTGGGTGGCTGATGAGCTTTCGTTTTAGTGTAGTAAAGTAATTGGCTTCTATTATTAAATCACAGGTTATTGATTCCAAAGCTTAACACCATTTACTTTTGCTGAACCTTCTATTCTCATTAAGAGAAACGACAGTTATTGGCAATTGATGTAGCCTACATATCAGTATGTATTCTTGGAACCACTGTGACTATGCTAATGTTTGCTAATGACGACTGCACTTTCCCCTTATGTGTTACATATAGTGAGACTATTTCAAACTTCAGGCACAATGGTTCCATTGTAGTACCAAAACGTATTGCACATGCTTAAAATCTTATATTTTCCTGGTTAGAGCTGGAACCCATACTACTAACTGAAGTATCCCAAGAATGGAAAAACAAGCACCACATATACTCACCAGCAAACTGGTATTAACTGAGCAGCACCTAAGTGGACACATAGGTACTACAGTAATAGGGTATTGGGTGGGTGGGAGGGGTGAAGAGGACAGGTATATACATACATAATGAGTGAGATGTGCACCATCTGGGGGATGGGCATGCTGGAAACTCAGACTTGTGGGGGGAGGGGGGAAAGGGCATTTATTGAAACCTTAAAATTTGTACCCCCATAATATGCCGAAATAAAATATGCATATATATATATATATATATATAAATGTTTCCATGATCTATGTTTCAAAACAATGATCTAGTACTAACTTATCTAAAGTTTCTCTTGCAGGCTGTTTGGTTTATTTATTAAAGAGTATTTAAAGGGTATTAAAGATTTATTAAAGGGTATTTCATTAGTTAAGTATTAGAGTATGAGACATAAATGAATTTCACATACGTGTAAAAATAGAGAAGCTTATTTATATTAAAAGGCAATAAATCAGACCAGTGATATGATATTTCATCAAGGTGGCTCTTTCCTTTCTTTGTCTAGAGATAAATCATTATAGATAGCAACTTTAATGTAGAAGGCATGAAATACTCATTTGTAGGTTACAATTTAAATATTGTGAAGCGTTAGAAGCTTCATTCATTCAACAAATATTTATTCTGTACCTCATGATGCCAAAGTCTTTGCTAGGAAATGATGCTGAGAAGTGATGAAAACATGGTCCATTATTTCATGCGATGTGTAGTTTAATACAGAAAGATTGCTATCAATGCTGTGATAAAAGTATATATAGGCTAAAAGAGTGACCTAAATGAGGGGTTGGGCAAATTTATTTGCGAGACACAAAGATTCATGAGATACTTCAAGGAGAAACTAATGCATTCTCTGAATATTAAGAGCTTAGTAGATCATCAAGAAGGCATGGCATAACTTGCGTAGGATGAAAATTGAACCTCAGTAACTCTCAAATAAAACAAAATACCTTGGAAGTACCAAATGTGTGCTACTGGAGAAGAGTATCTTTTATATTAAGCAAGCAAATTTATATTTATTCATTTCCTCCTTTGCCAAATGATCATTCACAATTTCAAAATATTACTCTTTAAATTATAATATGGTAAGATATACTTTTTTTGTGTACAGTTCAGCAAATTTTAACATGTAGAGATTAGTGTAATTACCAGCAAATTGACTACACAGAACTATTTTATCACCTCTCTGAAACCATCTCATCCTATAGTCACTTTCCCCAATCTTGCCTAAACCTTAGCAACCGCTCTTGTGTTCTCCATCCATTGTCAAGTTCATGCAGTTCTTCCTCTGTTATTCCATTCTGTTATTGAGCTCATTTAGTGATACTAAAATTTCAACTATTTTGTATTTAGTTCTACAGTTTCCATTTGGTTCTTTATTTTTCCTTCTCTTCCTCCTCTTCCCTCTTCTTCTCCCTTTATTTTATGTATATTTTTTCTGACTTTTATTTTCCTTCAATGATGTTTATGATTGCTTGTTGGAGTAATTTTGCAGGAACTATCTTAAAATCTTTCTCAGTTAATTCCAAGATCTGTGTTAACTTGATATTGATGTTTGTTGGTCAATTTTTTTCCCATGATAGATGAGGTTCTTTGCAGGCTGAGTAACTTTGAGTCATATCCTAGACATTTTGAATATTACGAAGTTATATTTAAATCCCATGGACAGTGTTGATATTTTGTTATAGTAAACACTATATTTGGTTAGGTTGAGACGGCAAGTTCTAGCTCATTTTCTGTCAGTTCTACTTCCATTGTTGGTTTAGTTTTTAAAGACTTTATATTGTTATTTGGATGTGTTTTCCACCTGGGAGGTGGTCTGTCTGTTAGTTCAGTTTTCAAATTGTTTGGTATTTTTATTAACATAACATCCATATATATTCGGCTCAACACTGAGCACAGAAGTTAATAAAAAATTATATGATATCACTTTCCAATGATTCTCCCTCTTTGCATTCTCTCTAGAAATTTCTGGTTCCTTGGGGCTCTCCTTTTTGGTCACATGGCCAGACAGTTGGTCCTTTAGTTACTCCTCCCTGCTGTGCCCTCTCACAAATACTCTTACCTCTAAGCCAAAGCATAGATAGGACAGAGTGAGGAAAAAAGCAACGAAGAGGCCTCCACCTTCTTGGGCCCGTAGTTCTACTCATGAAGTAAGAAGGTTCACCTACTGCAGAATTCTGGCTCCCATGGATTCCTGGTGCCACTTCTGAAGTATTGATTGGGGACTGCAGCATAAGAGAATGAAGAAAAAAGGGAAAAATACAGAAAAGGGGGTTTTTGTAGTCCATCTGAACAGTAGGTGTTCCTTTTTCTGCTCCTTGAGTTAGAAATCAAGGGATCTCCTGAAGCTCTGTCTGCCTTACACCCTGTGCCCACTTCAGGTTTCAGGATGCACTGCAGGGTGTCTTGGTGGACAATGGTCATCTCTGCATTAGTTTGGCAGTACTCTTAATTCTCGTCTTTGTCTCCAATCTGCCTGCTGTTACTTTTCAGTGTCTTCAAAGAAGATTCAAAGACGAGTATTGCATATATTGGAAATAGGATTAATCAAACAATTTATTTTTAAAATCTGAAAAGCTATAAAATATTTTCCTGTCCTAAAGTCAGACTTCTTTCTGTTCAACTTGAATATTCTACATTCATTTGCTATCATATTCAGAGTTCTGAAGGAGTTCATGCCAAGATCTTTTGGCGTAACAGAGACATACAATTGATCTTTAAAAATCTGAGCTAAACGGTATAACCAAATTGCTGACAGCAGCTTATAATCCAGACAGCACATCTGCTGACCTAGAGAAAGGATGACTGGTTGGATTGGCATCTCCTTCTTCCATATTAGGTACGAGGAATTTATAATAGTGTGTGTGATCGAAGCAGAAATTAGCGTCTTGGCTGATAGAACCATTATTTTTAATGCTTTGCCTGAAAAGACTGATCTGGAAGCAATTTAGAGAGTTAATTTATAACCAACTTTGAAAAGAATAACACATGTTCTCAAGACTTCTCAAACATGCAGTGAATAGGGAGCTGTCCAGCCACTTGAGTTTTCTTTAATCTTACAGTTTAATCAAAGATTCCCTTGAAAAACTTCACCCTTGGGAGATGAGGGAGACTCCTTGGAGGGCCTTAGGTCAGAAATCAATGTGGAGTTTTACTGTGATCACCACATGCATCTTATGTTTGCAAGACGTGTTTCAGTTTATGTGCCAGCTTGAACTTAATTGTTTCAGAACCGCAGACACCCCCGGAGAGTGAAAATCAGAAACTGTGCAAAAAATATTATCGGGGGACATAGCTTGTCCTGGCATGTTTGACAATAAAATGAAAAGCATTTCTCCAATGATCCAATCAATGGGTACAGATGAAATATCCTATGTCCCTATTTAGTCTTTCCTACAATATCAGCAAGTTTGATTAGTATCTCGCTATAGCCTAAGAAGGGTAGAAGTCTAGGTTCCCTGTCCTGGGATGGCTTGGATGGAGCAGAGTTTTTCTGTGATGTCTGGCTGGAGTAGAGATTGTTACTAAAGTTTTTGTCTTGCTAGGTTGCCCTTTTCCTGATCCTTTGACTAAAAAGAGTAGGCTTTTCTAGGGTTTTTTTAGTTCGCATTTGGTTTTCAGGTTGCTGGCTTTTTCATCCATTTCTGAAGTATATGAGGCATAAAGAACCCAGGGAATTCACACCATGTAATTCCTGAGTTTTATATCACTAGTTGATCTGCTTTCTTCTTTCCACTTTTAGCTTTTGTTTTTTGTATAATGTCCAGGGATTTCAGTGTAGTTACAGGAATAATAGGAAAAGGTATGTATACTTTCATCTTCCAGAAGCAGAATTCCTCTCTTTTTTTAGAATGAAATTTTATAATTGATAAATTTATTGTTTTGGATTTCTTATTCATATTTATTTCATTGTATTAATATATGTTTAATATTTGTTTTTATTATATTTCAGTATTTTCTCCAACAGTTACCTCTCTAGTAAAGAATACTGTTTCATTAATGGTAGTGTTAATTAATGGTAACAGTTAATACTGTTAATTAATGTCGTGTAATGGGAGTTATTAATTTAATGACAATAATAAAGAAAATTATTTTCATAAAAAATATTAAATGTAAAAGACAAGAACTATTTGAAGATACAACAAAAATCACAAAGCTATGACAAATTACAGATTTATAAAGCACTAAATAAACTCTTTTAAGGTTTCCTATACATACCAGGGGTTTAGCCTTCTGGGTGTCAGTAGGTATAACAGGGCTTGAACTGGTCTCCCCTATTTCAGGCCTTGGTCTATTAAGTCTTAGCTTTGCCTCTTTGATCTCAGTATTCAAAGACCTCATATCCAAGAATCTTTTGGCTGCTGGATATCCCA